CCCCTCCCGTATTCGTTTAAGTGGTATACCTTCTCTTCTAGCCTTCCATTGACAGCGACCTGTAAACTGTGGTCCAATTGCCACTTATGTGTCCTCACTTCTATATCCATAACTTATATGGTACCTATCCTTCCATTAATGAAGAATACTGTCTGTTCCGTCCTGAACCCGGGTATGTGGTAAGTCTATATTCTCGTCAGCTTACCCTATCCTGGCCTTGGATTTCAGTTTTGCCCCACCTCTTGCGTCCTCAACCTTTGGTCCTTGACCTTCGAGTTTCGTTATGGATTCCTGTCTCTCTATGTATCCTTAGGCCCTTCTGATTGCTTGTCCTGTCTGAGACAGTCTTCACAGCGTCTGGGTTTGAGCGAAGTCTCCTCCTCCTAGTCCCCACTTTAGAAGTCCTTCAGCCATGTCGTACCTGATGCCTGGTACCTGATGTGGCCCCTTTCTCCCTTCAGCTCATCAGCCCATCCGCTGCAGGTGTGGTCTGGGCCCCCCGGCCTGCTTCTGAATTGTGCCAGTCTTTCCAGCACACTCGGTCATTATGTAACTCGGCCACCTTACCATTCACCAGCCACTGTCTGGTAAACTTCTTCCTAACCTTTTCTTGCTGGTCCTCGTCCTCAGGCATCGACAGCCTTAACCTCTGCCATCTGCAGAGAATTTCAACCTGTAGCATAGATCTTGTCTCCGCCCATACCTTCTCTCTTGGGTTGGACAGTCCTTCGATAGTCCTGGAGCATCTTTCCTTCCAAATGATCCATAGAGTCACTTTCCTGATCAGTCCGAACCACAACCTCTCTGTCTTCTGAAGATGATCGGGAATGTTAGTCCAGAGGAGGATTTGGATGGGGTGCTCGGGGAAGGGGGCATGGAAGCGGGAATCCCAGAGGGCTGAGGCCCGTGCCCAGTAATCTGTCGCCTCGCTACATTGGATTAGGCAGTGAACTATGTCTTCTTGAGCCCCTTCTGTACAGACTATGCATAGGTCCGAACTGGTGGGATCGTTTTTTTGACATCTTATATGTAGCCATTGATTCACAGGCAGTGCTCTAATGCTATCTAAAGCTAGTTTGTTCCATGCGTTGTCAGGCTTCATCAGAAGCTTGATTATCCATCTAACCTGGAGGGCGCTTGTTTCCTGTCTAGGGTCTATAACCCCTAGACCCCCATACAGCGGTTTTCTCGTGATATATTGGCAGGCAATCTTAGGAATACAACCCTCTTTGTTGGGGTTCCCGGTCCATAAATAGGACCTTGCTCTGCGGTTAAGTTCCTTAATTGAGCTATCCGGTATTGTCCAAATTGAGGCTATATACCACATCATAGAGCGCACTGATGTGTTGAGAACTAGGGCTCGACCAATTAGTGAGGTGAAAGTGTTCCCCATCTCCCTAGTTTATTAATTTGCTTTGTCAGGACATTTTGGGCCATTTGGGGCGCCAGACCCTCCATCGTCACAAGGATACCAAGGTAGCGGATCAGGGTGTCCGGCGTTTCCCACGTCATGGCGGCCTCAGGCCCTTGCATATGAGGGAGGTCCTCGTCTGATAGCCACCATCCTACCGTCTTTTTCCAGTTGATCCTCATCTCTGAGGCCAACCTGAAAGCTTCCATGGCTCTACCCAAAGTTCTGAATGAGGAGTCTGAGGCTCTGATCAGGACAGTAAGGTCATCTGCGAACATGATTAGCGTCGGGAAGTTCATATGGTGGGCTGACCCCACGTTGACCTCTGGGAGTCTGTGAATGGATGGGTCCTTGTGTAAGAATGATGCAGTAGCTTCCATTATGAACAGGAAGATCGAGGGAGCTAGCGGATCTCCTTGACGGACTGACCTGGAGATTGGATAACATTCAGACAGCAAGCCATTTACCTGTACACAGCCTGTAGCATCGTTGTACAAGATGCGTATCCATTTCCTAAAGTTTGGTCCCACTCCCATCTTCTCCATGCTTACCTCTAGGAAGGTCCAGTTCACTTGATCATACGCCTTTTCAAAGTCAAAGAAAAGGATGGCTGTGTTTATCCTCTTTTCTCTGACCTTATTGGCTGCTTCACTTAGAGTCAATACGTTGTCCAGTATGTACCTCCCCGGAATGAAACCTGTTTGGTCCATATGGAAGCACTTATCTGTTAATTCCATGATTCTAGCAGATAAGGCTTTGGCCAAGATCTTGTAGGGGAGCGTAAGGAGCAAAATAGGCCTGTAGTTCCTGATGTCCTCTTTATCTCCCTTCTTGTACAGCAGAGTAACTACGCTACTACTTAAGGAGGCTTCCTAGTCCCCCTTCCGCCCAACTGTTGTTGTAGAAGTTTAGCAAGTCACCACCCAGGAGTGGCCAGAATTTCTCCAGAATTCTTTCGTTAACCCATCAATCCCTGGTGATTTATCATTGTTCATACTCTGAGTGCCTGATATAGTGCAGCGTGGAGAGGAGGAGGATTGGAGATCGGGGGGGGAGGATTGGATGGCAACGGGACTGTTTGCGATCGAACGGAGTGGAGCGTGGAGAGGAGAGGGATTTGAGAACAGGGAGGGAGGATTGAATGGCAATGGAGGGCGGAGGGACTGTTTGTGATCGAACGGAATGGAGCGTGGAGAGGAGGAGGATTTGAGATCGGGGAGGGAGGATTGAATGGCAACGGAGGGCGGAGGGATTGTTTGAGATCGAACAGCATGGAGCGTGGAGAGGAGGATTGGAGATCGGG